CAACTATTTCTCCAAGGACCTCAAAGGATCCTGCAGCCATTACCTGACTCATCCTTGTTATAGGCTTGCAAGATGAAAGAGAGGCAGGGATTACTCATCCCATCTCATTAAAGAGGAAGTAGATGTCCTGAGGGGATACACTGACGGGCCAAGGGCATAGTATGAATCATTTGTTTGCTCTAAACCATGGACAGGCTGAAATTTAGTCACAAATTGTCCTCAGACTTACCAATTCTGACCTATAGGCTTCTAAGAAGGAAATGACTCAGACAGTTAAATGCAGTGTGGAGGGAAGACTGGACTGGAAGGGCAGAGGGAACGGTGCCCAGTTGTCCTTCACTGGACTGCTGCTGGTGGCCTTCTTCCAGACAAGCATAGTGCTTCTCACAGCAGAGAGAAGAAAACGTCCCTGCTATTTCTGTACTGGACACAGCTCCACATTAATAACTGCCACAGATGACTGTCCCCAATGCATATGTGTAACGTACACTTCACATATATGTTGTGTCATCTTATAATGGCTAATGTCTACTTGACTTCCTTGTCAAAGTAAGAGATGGGCTCAGGAAAGACCTGATGGCCTATCTGTGGTCATGTGCCTGACATGTTTAGGCTCAGGACTGAGTGTATTTTGATGGATTTGAACATGCTTATTTCTACCATGCTCCCAGCCATGAGTTCATATTTACACTGTGAAGGAAGGCCCAGGTGCCAGAGCTTCTCACCAAAACTATGTCAGCTAATTCACAAGTAAGTTACCTGGATTCAGTCACTCCACAGTGTATATATACCTGAAAACATCAAGTTGTATGTGATAAGTACACATGATTTATCTATTTTTAAAAACTTAATTAAAAAGCTGGAGTCAACTGAATCCCCAGCCACCCACATTTGCCCAAGGAGCAAAGACCCACCTTGGCCACTGTCATCACCAGGATGGTTGGCCTTCCTGGTACTAGATTCCTACCTGGAACTCCTAGCCAGAGTTGGTGGCTGAGCTCCACAAGCAGGGATTGGGGGAGACTGTAACCTGGAGGCTGACTGACCCTGTGGGCCTTTCCCTTGTTTACCCAACACCACCAGTTAGCATCTGGAATCCCACCGACCATCACCACTGGGCAGAATGGGCAGAGCTACCTCAGGACAGTGGTATCTTTCATGGCGAAGGAAACTGAGGCTTAGGCCTCCCTAGAGTTACAAAGACGAATGGATGTGCATAAGCATTAGAAACTCAGGCAGGTGGTGGTGGCGGCGGCGGCGGTGGCGGCGGCGGTGGCGGCGGCGCACGCCTTTAATCCCAGCACTTGGGAGGCAGAGCCAGGCGGATCTCTGTGAGTTCGAGGCCAGCCTGGGCTACCGAGTGAGTTCCAGGAAAGGCGCAAAGCTACAAAGAGAAACCCTGTCTTGAAAAACCAAAAAAAAAAAAAAAAAAAAAAAAGGGTCAGGAACTCACTCTCTCGAGGTTTTTTTTTTTTTTTTTTTCCAGTTTGGTACCACCACAAGGTACTGTATTTAGCAGAAAATAGAAACTAGGGGGTAGAAAAGCAATGGCTGCGTCTACAGGGGGCTTCCTTTGTTTGCATGTTTTAGAAGGGCGTGTCACTTAGTGCTGCAGCTCTGAGGTGCCAGTATTATGAGCCACCCACCCACCCCCACCTCTAATTACAGAAAGCAAAGCCCAGGGTGTAAACAGCAAAGCTAAGCATGGGAGAAAGCCAGGATCCCAACACGGATGTGTGGGCTTTGTGCCCTTTCCACTAAGCTTCAGTAGCCCCAGAGAGTCTGATGCTGTGCTTTGCTCCTGATGCTGTCATCCTAAGGTGGTAGGGGGCGTTTGCCCATCTTCAAGCGAGAATGTGAGTCACAGATGCAGCCCAGCAAGCATGGGTGGGATGCCTTTGCATCAGCCACTGTGTCCCCTGGGGCTGGGGCTAAGCTATGACTTCAGCCACGCTGTGACTGCAGCTTAGCAACTCACTGTATGCAGCAGTGCCATCCAAAAACACAAGTCACATATGCCATGTGCACTTTCATAGGAGCCCCAGATGCAAGCCACACCTGTAACCTAAAAGCTTCCGGTAGTTAACATAAAATTAGGGAAAAGAAAGAAGTGGCGTAAATCATAGTAATATTTTACTTAAACCAATACATTCGATTGATTATCATTTCAACATATAACCAATATAAAATAGTTAGATGTTTTACATCTTCTTTTTCTTTATGCCTTTTTTTATAGGTCTTTGGAAACTCAGACTATACTTTCTTTTTGTGATATATTTCCACTTAGACAAGTTGCAGGAGCCAAAGGAGGCTGATGGCTATAGTATCAGGCAATGTGGGTCAAGAAGGATCTATAAAGCTTAGAGGATGTGTCCTGAGTCAACCAGCTACCAAGGTAACAGCACAGTGGTTGGACAGCAGAACCAGTCTTTCTTGGTTGTGAGTCCATTTTCACTGTGTGCCAGCTGCACGTCTTTGGGCTGTTTCCTCAGCCTGTGCTGCCTTGGATACTTGATCTATAAAATAGAGATGGTAACAATACTGTGGTGATATTGTGTCCCCCAATATATTGTGCACCTTAATAAACTTATCTGGGATCAAAGAACAGAACAGCCACTAGATAGACATAGAGGCCAGAAAATGGTGGCACACACACCATAAATCCTAGCATTCCGGAGGCAGAGATCCATCAGGATCTCTGTGAGTTCAAAGCCACACTGGAAACAGCCAGGCATGGTGACACACACCCTTTTTTTTTTTTTCCGGAGCTGAGGACCAAACCTAGGGCCTTGCACTTGCTAGGCAAGCGCTCTACCACCAAGCTAAATCCCCAACCCAACACACGCCTTTAATCCCAGGAAGTGATGGCAGGAAGCAGAAAGGTACATAAGGTGTGAAAACCAGGAACTAGAGGCTTTTAGGAGCAGTTCAGCTGAGATCCATTCAGATGAGGATTCAGAGACTTCCAGTTTGAGGAAACAGGATGGGCTGAGAAGATGGCAAGGTGAGGTTAGCTGTGGCTGGTTCTATTTCTCTGATCTTTCAGTTTTAACCCCAATACCTGGCTCCAGGTTTGTTTTTATTAATAAGACCTTTTAAGATTCATGTTACACAATATACCCTCTTGAAGGGTTTTGTAAAGGTGAAATGAGGAAGGGCTTGGGATAGTTTAAGACATCATCACTGATATAATGGTACTTGCTGATGCCACCAGGGCTACCCATTTCCCTATGACTCAGTTCCTTTTCTGTAATAAGTTTGTTGAGAACAGATGCTGTCTGAGATCCCTTCTTGCTGTGTTGTTTGGTGAAAAATGGATAAAATTTTACTTTGGGTTTCTATGGCTGCAATGAAACACCATGACCAAAAAGCAAGTTGGGGAGGAAAGGATATTTGGCTTACACATACAGCTGTTCTGTTCTCAGTCCTGCCTGGCCCATGGTCAGGACAAATCTCTCTTACCCGCCAGTCCCGCAGCTGCTCAGACCCAACCAAGTAAACACAGAGACTTATATTGCTTACAAACTGTATGGCTCTGGTAGGCTTCTTGTTATCTAGTTCTTCTATCTTAAATTAACCCATTTCTATTCATCTATACTTTGCCATATGGCTCGTGGCTTGCCGGTACTTTACATCCTGCTCCTCATCGTGGCGGCTGGCAGCATCTCCTCAACTCTGCCTTCCTCTTCCCCCAATTCTCCTCTCTGCTAGTCCCGCCTATACTTCCTGCCTGGCTACTGGCCAATCAGTGTTTTATTTATCAATCAATCATAGCAATACATTCACAGCATAGAGAGCATCCCACAACACTGTTCATCATCAAAGGAAGTCAGGACAGGAACCTAGACAGGGCAGGAATCTGGAGGCGGGAGCTGATGCAAAAACTATGAAGGGATGCTGCTCACTGGCTTGCTTCCCATAGCTTGTTCAGCCTGCTTTCTGATAGAACCCAGGACCACCAGTCCAGGAGCAGCACCACCCCGAGTGGGCTGGGCCCTCCCCTATCAATCACTAATTAAGAAAATGCCTTGCAGCCTGATCTTGTGGAAGCGTTCTCACCTGAGGTTCCCTCCTTTCAGAGGCCTCTAGTTTGTGTGTCAAGTTGACCCAAGACTGGCCAGCACAGAATCCAATTCAAATGCTGTTATATTATCTCCGTGATTTAGCGCAAAGCATGCACTGGGCCAGGCCCAAGATTCATTCCAGCTCCACGGCAGGGGCTCTCAATACACTAAATGCTTGAGAGGAGCAGGAAGGCCTTGTGCGGTGAGAAACTCAGTACCTCCATCCCGGGCTCAAGTTGGCTGGCTCTCTCAGTCTCTCACTTGTCACCCAGAGAAGCTTTACTGCAGCCAATCCCTCCTTTACCTCGTGCTTTCAGCACAGGTTAAAAAAAAATCTCCGAGGCCGGGCGGTGGTGGCGCACGCCTTTAATCCCAGCACTCGGGAGGCAGAGCCAGGCGGATCTCTGTGAGTTCGAGGCCAGCCTGGGCTACCAAGTGAGTCCCAGGAAAGGCGCAAAGCTGCACAGAGAAACCCTGTCTCGAAAAACCAAAAAAAAAAAAAAAAAAAAAAAAAAAAAAAAAAAAAAAAAAAATCTCCATGGACCTGGGGCTGGGAAGATGGCTTCAGGGGGTAGGGGGAGCTTGTTTTGTAAGCAAGAAAACCTGAGTTCAGACACCCAAATAAAAGGCTGGCTGTTGTCCCATGTGCGAACATTCAAATTCAGTGGGAGACTCTCTCTCAAGTGAACAAGGCAGAAAGTGATGGAGGGGGGAGCATTGACAACCTCTTCTGGCCTTGAAACACACACAGAGAATCCTCCAGGGCTGATGACCCTGCACATGGACTACTAGCCATCTTTGTCTGAGAGAGGAACGGAAGAGGAAAGCAAGCAAGGGCTAAGGGTCACATGTCTGAAAACTGCAAGTGAAGACACCCAGTTCTCCACAACAGCTGTCTCGCTGCTCAAGGACTCTCAGACATCTGGCCTCTCTCACCTAGGTGCCAAAGAGAAGCTGCAGAGATTCAAGCAGGAGACAGCCAAGTGCGTCAGGTACCTCATCTCCAGGGATGCTGGCAGGGGAGGTGGAGTCTCCAGTCCGTCTCTGGGCACGGCTTTCATCCTCCTCCAATAGTGACGCAGGAACTGGAGTCTCTGCTGTTTCTTGTGGAGGATGGTGGGTTTCTGCCGGCTTGGCACCTGAATTCTCCCTGCCCTGGACTCTGAACAGAAAGATAACAGCACTGCTCATCTTGATAGAGAAGAAGAAAGGAAGGCCAGCACCGGGTCCCTGCCTGCTGTTTGTGAGTCATAATCAATCACCTCGGCAAGCTCTTTTCAGGTGCTCCCCTGGAGGAAAAGCTGCTTCGGCTGATGTCCTGTTAGACACTGAAACCCAGGCCCATCCTTGAGGAAGGCTCTGAGACTCATCACTGGGCGATTGAGACCGAAAGCACTGCTCTCAACCCCAAGCAGGCAGAATAAAAGACAGCAATTGTACTGCTCAGACGCTGGGTCCACTGCTGGTGCCAGACAGTGACGCCTCGTGCTTCTCTAACTGAACTGGACAGCTGTCCTCAGGTCCCAGACACCATGCCTGTAACACTTCAGCATCTTGACCTGGTTGAGGGACTGGATGTTTGTGTCCTTCCAACACTCATCTGTTGAAACTCCAACAGTGATGGGAATAGGGGGTGGACCTTTGAGATTGTGTAAGATAGTAAGTATGGTGGGGTCCTCCGGAATAGGATTAGTGCCCTTAGGAGAGTCCTGAGACAGTGTGCTGCTGCTGGCTGATCTCTGGCACGTGAGGATATGGGAAGTCAGTAGTCTGTTCATAAGGACCTCTGCTGTGCTGGCATCCTGACCCCAACTTCCAGCTTCAGAGCAGTGAGAAATACATTTCTGTGACCTAGAAGCCACCTAGCTTCGGTTACCGCAAAGAGACTGAGTAAGATCTGTACCCTAAGCCATTGCTAAATGCTGAGTCCTCCCTTTGGGGCTTGCTGAGGGTGCTCACAGAGTCCCAGAATCCCCCCCCATTTTAATGTGAGTGGCTAATCATGCACTAATAAAGTGGAATCCCTTCCCTGAATGCTCCACCCAGTTAGTGCCACCAGCTGGCACCCATCGCTCCATCCCTCTCATTCCCAAGTAAGATGGAGACAGGGCACCATGAGGGAGCCTCTTGTTCCTGCAGCAGCCAACCAGTCCCCCCACACACCCTGGGTGACTCCCCAGAGGAGACCTCCTGCCCTCACTTGCCCTCACTGGTCAAGGGCAGGGGACTGTGGAGCACACGGCTGAGTATGTCCACATGCTTAGAGGCCACCTGGGGTCCCTGGTCCCACAGCCTCTCCAGGCTGCTCCTTCTGCCCTTTGGCTAAGAGCAGTGGAGTCCACACTGAGAGAAATCACCATCTGCTTAGCTTTCCCCACGGCTCTGTCAATCACACAGTGAAGACACATCTTGCCACCAAGCCCGGGAAATGGGCCCCCGAGGGCCACACACAGCTCTAGCTGCAAATGTGTTTACCCAACACAGCACTCTCATTCCTCAGCAGCCAGTCATACCAAGTAGTACAGCACCCTGGGGGTATCTAATCACCCTGCAGGGCCCCTTGCAGCACTCCATCCACACCGGAGGTGTCCAGGGGCAACAAGGGTTGTACAGCCGTCAGGTGAGGCTGCAGCAGGCAGTGACAGTCTGGACTACAACACCCTCCAGGCCCCCAACTGCTCCTCTCTGCCTGGTGGGGCTGAGACCGGGGCTCCCTGAGTAGTGCCGGGGACAAGGACCTCACAGGGAAGTGTAGGTAGGGGGCAACTGGCTCAGCTAGGTCAAGCTCAGACAGAGTTGACTGTATCCAAAGGACTAGCAACCAGAGTTCCCAAACGGAAAAGGAAGTTGAGAGAGCAAGAGAGAGGACAGTGGGGCCCAGAGAAAATAACTAAAAACATAGGGGGGTTGGAAATAAGCCTGCAATACTAGCATTAGGGAGACTGAGGCAGGAGAATTGCTGTGAGTTTGAGGCCAGCCTGGGTACTGAGATTCTGTCTCAGAAATGAGATGAAGAGAAAGGTGGTGGGAAGAAGAGGGAAGGGGAGGTCGGGAAAAGAAGTAAATCAAAGCGTTATAAGCATTATGCATAAGGGCTTTGGCTAAGTCTACCCTGGGCGGAACTCTACACTTTGCCTGTTCTATTGACTGCCTTCTCTGTCACCTTTCATCATCCCCATGAGTCTCATTTCTCTCATCACTGAGATGAAGACAACAAGTGTATCCTAAATGAGGGTGTGTGGAGCCCGGGTGAGCAAATGAATAAATAAAGCACAGAACACTTAACCTGTGCCTAGGAACGGGGGAGGGGAGGGCAGAGAGAGGCTAGAGGACAGGTGCGGGATGCAGTGGACAGGAGGAATAACTTCTAATGCCCAAGCTCGGCGGGATCAATGTGGCAATTACTATTTCAAAAGAGCAGGTAGAGAGGGCTGGGGCGTAGCTCAGTGACAGAGCAGTGAGTGGCCCTGAGTTCGATCCCAGCCAAGGATGGAGAGAAGCGAGTGTTGGGGGGATTATCACACCCACTCTGTAGATGGGAACCTGAGTCCCAGTCCATTATCTCTTTTGGTCCTATTCAATAGAATCTCAGGCCCATGGCCTAGAAGGCAGCAGGCCACACCCTGAACTGCCCCCCCTTTCCTCCACATCACCTTCCTCTTGACCATCACTCCCCTGGAGCTGCTCTCGGCCTCTGTCGCTTCCCCCAACACCCATTCACCTGTGGGTGAGCTCTTTTCAAACCCCTGCCCTATCAAAAAGTGAAAGGAATTAACATGAAAGTGAATGGCTGGGTCCAAGTAATGTCTCCTCCCAGGCATGTGCCTCCACACCCGAAGATAAGGAACACCGTTGTGAGGTCGCGAGGGGATCGGGTCTCTGTTCTCAGTTCTCTGTCCCTGAATCAGCTAGGAATGCTTTTTCCTCTCCTGCTGGGTAATCAGAAAGCGATTCAGAGAATGCCACGCAAGAAGAGTCTCTCTCTCTTCTTGCCATGAACATGCACATGCTCAGAGCCTGATGAATGGTAAATATGACCTTTTGCAAAGTTTCTTGGCAGGCTGATTTATGACAGCTCCTAACCCGAATGTCTCAGGCAGTGGCTGTTTGTGTGTTTGATGAAGTATTCTTTGTCTGGACTTGATAGTTTACAGAACTTCTGTAGCTGGCTCCCACGTTCTCTCTCTCTCTCTCTCTCTCTCTCTCTCTCTCTGATTCTAACTTTTTGCTTGTGTATTTAATCAATCTTGCTGGGAAGCAAACATGAATATATTTATGAATCTCGGTCCCCAAGTTGTCATGCACACTGTATTAGCTTATTACTGTATCTCCAAGATAACTCTTCCTTCTTATCTCCCTACACCTGCACTTTTGAGTTCAGGGAGATCGCAGCTCAACCCAAATTACTTTTAATGTTTGGTTTGCAAAGGGGGCTGCTTTGAGGGTTTCTGTCTTGAACAGGTGTATCTTCTCCTGCATCCGTATTGCCTTTGCCTTTGTTCTTCCCCGTCTCCAAAAGAGAAAGTTATCGAATTAGACTTCAAGCCCTAGAGGTTGCTTCAGCCCAAGAATATAACTAAACTTAATGAGCAAGTGGAATTGCAGATAGAGGAAAGACCGAGACACCCATGATAGGGATGCAAGCGGTTCATGAGTCACTGACCCCCTCCCCCACCCCTTGGAATGGTGGCAGCGGTGTGTCGCAGGAGTCAGCCGTCACTTGCAAGGTATCAGAGATCTGAACCGTTCTTTGACAGAACCGAGAATGATATTTGGTATTGAGTGGATTTTTCTATCCATGGAAGATGGAAGACGGGAGGAGGAGATGGCAATGACCCCAAGATCCTTTTTCAGAAGTGTGCGGGTGAGAGTGTAAGTTTGTGGGGGTCATGCTTAGATCTTTTGGTGTAGAGGCTCCTGGCAGCCACTCCTCGGGGAGCTGTTCTGAGTGCTGAGGTCCCCCTTTCCCCTGACCTACAGATCCCACTGCGCTGGAAGACCTGGCTGTTTACTGTCACTGGCAGCTCTGAGTGCATCTGGAATGGTTTTACCTGCAAGAAAAGACAGGAAGAGCTGGAACCAGGAGCACAACTGAGCAGGAGAACATTGGCTGGGAAGGAAGCCACTCAGAGAAGTTCACCACATCCCGAGGAGTAGTCTAGTCTGCTGTGCCGAGGAGGGACGGCTGAGTTTGTCCAAGGTTCAGAGTCAGCCAGAAAGCTGCACCATGAGCTCAGAAGAACGAAGGCAGGGATGGTGCCAGAATGAACAGGGGATCCAGGCTGCAGACAGAGCAGATGAAACCAAGGGTCTTTGAGTTTCATGGTGTTTTGTGGGATATAGCAATCAATGGGATGCTCTGTTTTCCAATCACTTGGGAAGTAATTACAGAAATCCCACCTTTGCTGGCCCTATCAGTCCAATGGAGCTGAGTAGAGGTTTTTCATCCAGATGACACACCTTTCAAGGCCACTTACACCATGTGACAGTTGCATTCCAGGACCCTGGAGCAATGAGCCCCACTTGTGAGACAGAGACAGATGTCACCTCTATACTGCCATTTGAAGGACAAAAGGAAAGCTGTATAACCATCCTACCCCATACCTGCTGTCAGCCCACTATAGTGCCCAAAATTCCCATTACCTGCTGCTTAGGTTTTCTGTGCAGACACACTAGTAAAGTACAAATGGTACCTAGAAAGAGTCAGGCAGTGGATGCAGAACAAAGAACTTGAATGTCAGAGTAAGCTGGTTTCAGACCCCAGATATTTATATTCTTTACCTCCCTCCTCCTTCCCCCTTTCTCTCTCTTCCTCCCTCTCTGTCTCATACACACACACACACACATGCATGCACGCACACATGCATGCCATGCCTGCAGGGGGGCGGGCCGGAGGTGGGGAGGAGGATATGCCTGGCAACTCACTTAGCATCCTAAAGGCTCTGTGTCCTTGTTTAGGAAAACATAAATTCTACCAATTTAGTATTTGTGCTGGCTAGTTTTATGTCAACTTGACACACAAACCAGAGTTAAATTGAGAGAATCTCAATTGAGAAAATGCCTCTATAAGATCCAGCTGTGGGGCTTAGTGATTGACGGGGGAAGGCCCAGCCCATTGTGGGTGGTGCCATCACTGGGCTGGTGGTCCTGAGTGCTATAAGAAAGCAGACTGAGCAAGCCATAGGGAGCAAGTCAGTAAGCAGCACCCCTCCATGGCCTCTGCTCCAGCTCCTGCCTCCAGGTTCCTACCCTGACTTCCTTCCGTGATGAACAGCAATATGGAAGTGTAAGCCAAATAAACCCTTTCCTCCCTGACTTGCTTTTTGATCATGGTGTTTTATTGCAGCAATAGAAACCCTAACTAAGACAGTAGGTATGACTGGCATGCACTAACAGCCAATGTGGAGACAAACACACATACTGAGAAATGTTTGTCCATTTTACACTGTCACTATGAAAACTAGTATGATAGGAAAAGCCAAGACCAGAGTCAAGAGTCGCAGGTTCTTATTTGTGCTCTTCACTGGCCAGTCTTGTGACCTTGCAAAGGTCACTTTTCTTTCCTGGCCTTAAACTGGATTCATTCACTTAACAGATATTACTGGGGGCTGAAGAGATGGCTCAGCTGTGTAAGCATGGAGAGTAGAGTTTGGATCCCCAGCAGCTGCATTAAAAACCAGGTGGGCATGATGACCTGCCTATCTTCCCAGAGTTTGAAAGGAGGACAGGGGATCCTCAAGACAAACCCACTAGCTAGACTAGCCTAGGTGATCTCCAAGTTCAGCAAGAGACCCTGAATCAATAAAATACAGTGGAGAGTGATCTAGAAGACACCAATACTGAAATTTCTGGCTTCCACATGCACACACACAAACAAGAGTGTGCACCCTCACACATACCACACACACACACACACACGCAACACACACACATTATTAAGTTTCTAATATGTGCCGTGCACTATTCATCTGCTTGTGTGGTGGATAAATGAATAACTGTATGTATGAACTAGTGGTAAGCATCAGGCCGATCCCTACAGTACAGTCTTAGGATGGAATGGCCCTAGGTGGCTACTTTAAATGGAGTCCTCCAGGCAGAGCTCTATGAAGAGGTGAATTTTATACTGAAGCCTGCAGTAACAAGAGGCCAGCCATCAGAAGATCAAGGGGACACTCTAGGCAGGTAGGAGGGCAGCAGGTGCAAAGGCTACCTCAGAAGAGGCAAGAGTGGATGACTTATGAAGTCCTTTCTAGGTCCCACAGGCTTTATCTGTGGTCTCTGTGGCTACGACATGACTTTTGCGTATACACAGGGATCAGTCAGAGGAAAGTTCTTTTACAGGCTGATTGCCATCCCTCAAAGGTAGAGACTGATGTAGTGAGACACATCGGCTGAGGTCCAACTGAGCAAGGGGAAATTCAGAACCAAGACTGGAGAGAGAGGTGCAGCTAAGACAGAGAAGGAAGTGGGGTGCTGGGCTGGAAGGGCCGTGGGAGGGAGCAGAGCGGGCTTCTCTTCTCAGAACGTAGCAGGTGCCCAACATGACACCCAGAGAAGCAGGGATGGAAGCTGCCTGGACAGATGGGCCCTTTTGAACCCTCTGCAGTGACGCTGAAAAAAGGTAAAACCAAGTCACTAAGTCAGGAAGAAACTCCCTGGATGAACATGGACTCAAGGGTCTAGGTTGGTAAGACTGGCACAACAGATACTCATCAGTTTATCACCCGTTCACTTATTCAGCAAACACCTAGTGAGGAGTCAGTCTTCTGGGCCTGTTCTCACTGTGGGGTTTCATCACACAAAGCAGATAAAAGTCCCTAGATAGCAGGGCAGTGGTGGCGCACGCCTTTAATCCCAGCACTCGGCAGGCAGAGGCAGAGGCAGGCGGATCTCTGTGAGTTCGAGGCCAGCCTGGTCTACAGAGCGAGATCCAGGACAGGCACCAAAACAACACAGAGAAACCCTGTCTCAAAAAAAAACAAAAAAACAAACAAAAAAGTCCCTAGATAGAGCCTAATTTTATGGTAGAAGAGATAGGCAGTATTGAAAGGCCAAGGTCTTGAACCTGACATTTAGGCCTTCCATTTAATCTGAACATGATGTGCCCAATTTATGCCTAGGGCAGGGCTGTTGCTGGGTGCTATGCTGACCATATCCAGGCTGGAGAACGCCCGATCCTCAAAACTCTGCTCTCCTTTTACCATTACGCCACTCCAGGAGCTCACAGTCAAACGGTGTGCACAGACTCACCCTGTTGAGAGTCCAGGCTCCCTCCCTGGGTCATCTCAAAGTGCAGCGCTCTCCCACTTGGACCACTTTGCTTCTTAGCAGAGCAGAGACTGCTGTGCTGTGGAACTAGCCCATCAGAACCCTCCGAGACTGCATTGCAGGCAGGCCCTAGGAAGAGGTGGGCACCACCAGTTCTCTGTGCTATGTGAGGCAGCCACTCCTTCCAGGCTCCTGGACCAAGTCCAGAACTGCCGGTGTCTGTGCCTGGTCTCAACAACAGTGGAGTCTTGACGGACTTGGGATTTGTTTTGTTTGTCTTGTTTTTTGTTGTTGTTGTTGTTGTTTGTTTTATGTTGTTGTTTTATCAGTGCTGGGGATCAAACCCTGCACATACACACACACACACACACACACACACACACACACACACACACACCCCACACATACATACGTACATACATAATACATATGCACGCACTCCCTCACTCGCTCACAAGACAAGCACTCTACACCTGGATCTCTTAGCTTTGTTTCAGGACTTGGAGGTTTGTTTCTAGGTGTGCAGCCAATAATCTGGATCTGGCAGGCTTCCTAAAAACATTCTGAGCAGTCCCACATTAATTTCAACGATTTCACGAGATTCGGTTCCTGTTATTTAACACTGAGAACCATGACCACTGCTCTTCTAAGTCCTTGTCTCCCCGTTATCAGTAGGATAAACTGAATTTTCTACAGCTTGAAATATAGATTTGTAATGACTTAAGACCATAGGGGTGTGGTCTTTCCCATTCAGCAGCCATTGGAGAACAGCAGCCATGGCTCGGCCCCACTCCATGGTCTTGGGCCTCAACAAGGGTCACAGGATGATGAAGAATGTCAGCAAGTCGAGACTCAGCAAACACACCAAATTTGTGGGGCATGATCTGGGAGCAGTGTGGCTCGACACTTTCAGAGCAGTACCCCATGAAGAAGCTACTCAAGATCTCTAAGGGCAAGCAGGCCCTCAGGTTCATTGTGAAGAGGGTGTGGCCACACCTCGGGCCAAGAGGAAGCAAGCGTGTTGAGCTGAGCAATTACTGGAGGCCTTGAGGAAAGCAGCCAACTGCTTCTACCTGCTTGTCCTCCCCCTTCAACAAACCTTCATATTAGAAACAAATAGCCGTACTTTCTGTGCCTCTCAGATTGCCTGAATTTTTCCCAAGATAAATTTTTAAATATTTTAAGCTAGGTAAAGATGGAAATACAATGTATCGCGATTTGTGGATGCATCAGCATGTGGATTTCTCAGGAAACTGACAATGTCTGGGAGGCATGGTGGTACTGAAAGAGAAAGGAAAAATAACAAGCTTTAACATTAATGAAATATGATCAACAAGTTTACTTGGGAAGTCGTAGGTTACATAGTAAGAAGAAAACAGGATAAAAACCTGCATCTAATCCCAGACAACAGGAGCCAAAACTGGACTACTGTCTTCTGTACACCTGCTTTCCCCTCCTTTCCTGGAAAAGCGTAGACAGTGAGCTCTGTTTGCTAAAGATAAAACTGTCTTACCTAGAAACCTGCAAATTTCAGCTTCTAGAAAACTTAGCTCCAAGGAATATCTCCTTTAGGGTGAGGGCGAAAAGACTGCCGTAGAATGGTCAATGGTCACATAGAAAAGATGATGAAAATGCTTATGTCTATGTAAGCTATGAAATATTTCTGATGGGGGCGGGGCCTCTTTAAGTAATAGCTAGAGGCTACATCGGTGCACTAATTAAGAGTTTTTCCTTTTGTCTCTGAGTGCTGAGAATTTCTCATTGGATAGCGGTAAGCCTCCCTGATAATACACATCTGTAATCCCTCCCACTTGGGATGTGAAGGCAGGAGGACCAAGAGTTCAAAGTCAACCTTGAGTGTATAGCAAGTCTGAAGCAAGCCAGAGCTATAAGAGACCCTGTCTCAAAACAACACCCCCCCCCACACACACACACACACACACACGAGACAGAAAACAAGAGAGATGAATCCAATCATCTGAGTTCCCATCTCAGGAAACTAAAGAAACGAGAACAGTATAAACCCAAAGGCGGATAATCAAACCAACAGTTTAATCAAAGCAGGAATCAATAAAATGGAGATGGGAAATCAATATGAGAAGTCAAAAAAAAAAAAAGCTCACTCTTTAAAAAAATAATAATACTACAGGACTGGAGAGGTGACTCGGTGGTTAGGAGCACTGGTTGCTCTTCCAGAGGACCCAGATTTAATTCCCAGCAACCAAGGCGGGGGGGAAGGTGGGTACTGTTCATGCAGGCAAAACACCTGTACACAAAAATAAGATAAAATAATTTCTTAAGACAAGGCACTCGTCAAGCTACAAATTACTAACATTGCAAATGACACAGAAGCTGAATCTACCGGTCCCAAGGGTGTTAAAGCTCAGTGATGGAAGATTAAAAACAGTCGCATGCCTACATATCTGTTACCTTAAATGAAATGGACTAATTCTTTCACAGATACAAACTATTAAAATGCACACGTAGAGAAAGTAGATCATATGAACAGAAAAAAGATAGAAGTAATAATTAATAGCCTTCCAAAAAGGAATTACCAAGTCCAGATGGTTTCATTAAAATTCTACTAAACAGTGAAGGAAAAAAATGATACTAAGTCTCTATCGTTTCTTGTAGGAAACAGAAGAGGACAAGTATCTCATAATATCCTGTGAGCTCATCGAAACCCTGACACCAGAACCAGATTGCAACTAGAAAAGAAAACTACAGACCATCTTACTCATGAACACAGATGCAAAATATCACAAGCACAATTCACCTGCACAGAAAAAAGAATTTACATCGAGCGCCAATGGGTTTATTTCAGGTATGTAGCACTGATTCAAAACTCAAAAGTCCCCAGGTGTGGTGGCACATGCCTTTAATCCCAGCAGTAGAGACAAGCAGATCTCCAAGTTCAAGGCCAGCCTGCTCTACAGAGGGAGTTCCAGGGCCCCCAGAGAAACCCTATCTCAAAAAAAAAAAAAACCTTAAAAGTCAGTTCACAGAATCCATGATATCAACAGGTTAACAAAGAAAAAATTCATGTTCATACCAATAGATGCAGAAATTACCTGATGAAATCCAACATCCATTCATGATTAAAAAACAAACCATGAAAGTAAAATGAAAAGGGAGTTTCTTACCTCGATACAGAAAGCCCACATCCCACAGCTGGTATTGTATGTACTTAATGATGAGCTGGTAGACAATGCCCCACTAAGATCAGGAACATGAAAGGAGTTCTCTCATCATCCTGCACATCCCGGGTATAAAACAAGTTCAAAACCAGCCTGGGCTACATGAGACTGTATCTCAAAAACCAAAAGAACACAACATTGAACGTGTATGCTTGAAAAAAAAAAAAAAAGGTTTCGAATCGATCTTCTGGAAAAGCTAATAGAATAAGATAGGGGTGCAAAATTTAAATCAGTGGAGAAATGTAATAAAATTGTCTCGTTTTTGAAGATGCCATGATTATGTTGAAGATCTTAAGAAATTGGCACCCTCCCCACACAGAAGCTGGAGGAATAGCTAAGTGGGTAAAAGGACATGCTGTCCAGTCTGGAGACCTGAGTTCTATTACCTTGAACCTACATCATGACAGGGGAAAGTGACTTTCTCACAAATTGTCCTCATACCTCCACATGTACACATAGGTACACGTCGGTAGATGGATAGATAGATACATAGATACATAGATACATACATACATACATACATACATACGTAGATACGTAGATACATAGATAGATGATAGATACATACATACATACATACATACATATGTAGACAAATACATAGGTACATACATACATACATATATATGTAGATAGATAGATAGATAGATAGATAGATAGATAGATAGATAGATAGATAGACAGGTAGGTAGATGGTAATAGATAGGTATAGATAATTTTTAAAAGAATTTATTTCAAAAGGTCCTCCAGAATTAACAATTACGAAGTAGCCTAGTACAGGATTACCATACAAAAATAATTATTTTCAGATATGTTCCATATTCCACAATGAGTAATTAGAATACAAAATCTAAAACACAATATTATCCACATGAGTAGCAACTAAATACTTAGGTGTAGATCCATCAAAATATATACAGACTGTAAGAGGAAACCATACAATTCTGATGAGAGATATCAAAGATGTAAGTAGAGGTACTTCATATTTTCAAGGACAGGAAGGCCAATGTTCCTCAACTCAATCTACAGATCTACAGATGAGGTGAAATCCTAATCAAAATCCTAGTGGGCTGTTTGGGGGATGGCATGAAAAGGCAAAGAAGAATCACAACAAGAAACACATGGCACAGGCAACACAATATCGAAGAAGAACAAAGCCAAAGAGATGCTAGCTGATTTTAAGAGGACCATGAAGGATCACTAATCAAGATAGAGCAGCACCTGGGGTTGGGGGGATAGACAGACCAAGGGAACAAAACAGTCTAAAATAGACCCAGGTAATATACACAACATATCACTGAGAAAGTAGAGAAGGAAATTCAATGGAGAAACGCAAGTCATTTCAACTAGTAGTAGTGAAACATTGAGATAGCCTTACTTTAAAAAAATCATCAAAATATGGAGTTCTACTGTATATAAAAAATGAATTCAGACTGTACTGTAAGCTTAAATATAAAACCAAAAACTTCTCTGGCTGGGGAGATGGCTCAATGGGTAAAATTACTCTGTAATGTAAGGACCTGAGTTTGATCCCCGGAGCCCAAGTAACAAAGCTGGGCATTCCTGTAGTCCCTACACTGGGGAGGTGGGGACAGTGGGTCCTTAAGTCCTGCCAGCCAATCAGCTTATCCAAAGGGGTGAGCTCCAGTGAACACCAGAGAGCCTATCTCAAAACTGAGGTAGAAAGCTGCTGAGGAAGACACCTGAGGTGGACCTTCGGCTTCCTCATGCATACACACATTCATTTGCATGCATACAAACCCATGTCCATGAATACACACATGAACACATGCATACACAGATGCATGTGTACCTAACAGTACACCATACATACACACATGAACACACACATATGTATACATATGTGAACACATACACATGAATACATACATGTAAATGTGCACATACATGCACGTTGTGTAACAGTTTCCTCTAAGATCAAAACATCCCATTCTGCAGGAAGCTCCTTACGCAGGAAGGTGAAAGTTGGAATAGCTTCAGGAAGTCCCTGAAACTAACCAGATTCACTAGGCCTGTCCCTACCAGAATAAATAATAAAAGCTGAGAGTTCCCCTCAGGCAGAAGAGCGCTGAAATTCAAAGAAGACACTTAGACCAGTCCAGCTTCATGGAAGAAGCAGAAACCAGCTGAGCTGCCTGGAAGAGGTTTAGATCAGCTGTGGCACTTGGAAAGGACACTCTCCAACCTGTCGAGCTGCCTGCAGACTGTGCAGTGTGCTCCAGGTTCCTGACTTTGTGAGCTGTCAATCATGCTGGGGTGAGCTTTGGTGATGCATCTGTCTTTGGGTCATTTCTGCTCCTGTAAGAAGTAACCCTTCACCCATATTCCTGTAAGTAACCCCAATAAAACTCACTAGTTCACCAAATTGGACTTTGGTGTTATCCATACTTTGGTCTGTCATGGGATCCCTATCTGGGGTTAGTAAATGTGTGTGTTGCATCTCTCCAGGAAAAGTTTTGTCATATAACATATGCACAAATTCATATACGTGTGAATAACATACATGCATACACACATGAATACATGATTATGCATATAAATATACATGCACATATATAGACACACACACAAAAAAATAAACATACCCTAGAAGAAAATCTTTATGACCTTGGTTTTGGAGATGATTTTTCAGACACAAAACCAAAAGTATAATAATTAAAAGAAAAATTATCGAGTTGGACTTAGCTAAAATTAAAACTTGCTGTTCTGCAAGAGATTAATAAAAGCACGAAAAAGCAAGCTGCAGTTGGGTAGAATATGTTCATAAAATACATATTTGATAAAGGCATTTTATTCCAGACTATAAAAAGAATTCTTCAAATTCAATATTAAGAAAATAACCCAATTAAAGAATTGGCAAGATATGTGAAAAATGTTTCGCCAAAGAGGGCACCTAGATACAGCATGAAAAGACATCCAATTTCACATTGCACTAGAGAATTACAAATGAAAACAATGAACCACCTCTACACGCCTAAAACTAAGAGAAAAAGCACCTAGCAATACCAAGTACTGGCGGAATGCAGCACAGTACGAGTTCTCTCTGGTCTCTGTATGGAGTCCAAAGTGGCCCAGCCCCTTTGAGTGACAGCCTGATAGCATCTCACACAGTTCAGTATAGTCTCAGACTACTCAACTGAGTTGAGAACTTATGCTCACACTAAGTTTCAAACCCTGGGACAAAAGGCTGAAGTGCTTATTTAACTTATCAGAGGTGGACCTGGCTCAGATCCTCCCAGCATCCCTCAGTCCCTACCTGTCACAGGGTATGGCTGGCATACCCCACGCCCTACCCTGAACTCTACAGCCCAGGGGCTGGGCTGCCCTTCCTCAGAGGCTCTTCCTATATAATCCAGCCATTTTGGTTACCCACCCTTCTTTTACCTTTTGCCCTCTTGGCTGCTGTACCTGGTCTCCTTTTCTCCCCTTTCCCTCTGGTCACATTCACTCTGGACTCTCCCAGACGTCCCTGCCTCTGTCTATGCGCTCCCTTTTATCTACAATAAACTTTCTCCTCCACCACACCTAGAAGCAGACATGTCCTTTCCTTTTCATTTCTTTTTTTCATTCATACACAAAACCTGCACTCCATGTTTACAGCAGCTTCACTCATAATCACTAAAACCTAGGAGCAGCCACAACATCCTTCAACAGGTGACTGGATGTGTAAACTATTCCACACAATGAAACTGTTGTCCACAGATGAAAAGATAAATTCACAAGTCATGAAAAGGGGTGGCAAGAGCTTAAATGCATCCTGTTTGTTCCCATTACTTTTCTATTGAGGTGATAAACTCCATGACCCAAAGCAACTTGGGGAGGAAAGGGTTTATTTCATCTTACAGCTTGTAGTTCATCCTCCAGGGAAGTCAGGGCAGGAACTCAAGGCAGGAACCCAGAGGCAGGAACTGATGCAGAGGCCATGGACAAGGGCTGCTTATAGGCTTGCTCTCCATGGTTTGCTCAGTTTGCTTTCTTGTACCACTTAGAACCACCAGCCTAGGGGTGGCACTGCCCATAGTTGGCTGGCTCCTCCCACATCAATCATGAATCGAGAAAACACCCCCACAGACTTGCCTACAGGCCAATCTTACAAAGGCATTTTTTCAATTAAGATTCCCTCTAGCCAAATATGTCTAGGTTTGTGTCAAGTTGACAAAAACTGACCAGCACATTAATAAATAGAAGAAGCTAGTCTTAGGTGGCTGTGTGTGTATGCATGATTCCAACCAGGAGACATTCTGAAAAGGAAAGACTGGAGACATTAACTAGATTAGTAGATGCAAAGGCTCTTGGTACGGTGACAGAAGGACACAGAGATGAAGCACAGGGTGAGAGGTTGGGGAGCAGTAAGACTACCCTGTATGACACTGTAATAACACATGCATCCTACACATTAATATGAGCCAAGAGAACTGTATGTACACTACATTAATTACAATGTTTCACTATTGGTTCATTAGTTGCATATATATATATATATATATATATATATATATATGCCACATACACACACACACACACACACACACACACACACACACACACACACATATATATATATATATATATATATATATATATATATATATATATATATGCCACACTAATGCATGATGTTAATAGGTGGATGAGCGGTGACTGGAAATCCTGAACTCTGTTTGGTGATTGAAAATGGTGGTTTCTGTCTTGCTCACACTTCACACCCACACCAGGTTAACTCCTTTTTCCTCCTTCCAAGGTAGTCTGGTGGGCAAAAGCTCCCTCTTTGAATATCACCAGCCACCATAAAAGAAAATATACAGAAAAGCTCTTTAAGGAGATGCATGGATGAGCTATGTGGTTCCAGCTCACGTTTCATTAACAGCAAGTCATCCAGCCACGCCCACCTTTAAAGGAATGGGAATGTAATTGTATCAAGTGCCCAGGGAAAGAAAGAAAAATCTGAAGCCCAGTCATTAGCCCTAATGACTCCCACTTGCTGTGCCTGGGCCAACATTGCCACCAAGAGACGCATGCTCAGAAACACACAGAGGAACCCACGCTGGCTGTGGAGAAACATGGCGGCTGCTTGCGAGTCCTGCAAGCCCAGCCACTGACATAGCTATCCCACCCCGCGTAATCACTTCACTACTCCGAAATCCCTCCTGAAAACCTTAGCTCTTCATGAAATTCTCCCTTGGCTTCAGACTCTCGCTATCAATTTACAAGAGGGAACACGTCCAAAGAGCGACAGAAGGAAGGAAGGCTGAGAAAAGTGTTTTCAAAAAGCCTTTGTAGGTAAGATCAAGGACCTCCGTACCAGCTTTCCCTCCGCCGAGCTTTGCTCAGCAGGCTGCTTGACCCGTCTCTTCACCCATCGTCACCAAAGCAGATGGCATGCTACAAAAGGACATGGTAGTTGTAGAGAATTATAAAGTCACGTTCTGTTGATGACAGCCAAGACTGCCTTAAGCATTCTGAAGCTGAGATGAGTGGAAGAAACCGTGTTACCAAGGACTACTTGATTTGCATGTGACAAAAAATTCAGCTCAAAGCAGCATAAGGGTAGTAAGAATGAGTCGTTCTGTGGAACCAAGAAGTCCGGAGATGCGCTTACAGAACTGGATTACTGAGATAAATCTACACCAGAGACTTCCAGGAAGATAGAAACACTGAGGCAGAAAATACCTCAGCTACCAGCTCCAGCACATGCCCAAGAATACTAAGGATGCGCGTGGGTTAGAGTCACGTGACCATCCTTGAGCCAATCACTATCACTGTAGTTACTGGATTGACATGGAATTCTTTTGCTGTTGTTATTTTAAGCGTCTGTTTATTGTAGAGTTGAGGACCAGTTCCATAGCCTGGTATGTACAAAATAAGTATTCCACCCCCGAGCTATATCCTCACCCCTCAGAATAGGTTTGCTAGAAAGGACATTGCTGTTTCCTGAGTGAGGAAAAGATGGCTACAACTACCAGAGCCTGCCATGCTAGCGGTAGAGTCCAGCAAACACGCCTGTGCACGTACACACACACACACATACACACACACACACACATACACACACACACACACACACACACACACACACACATTCAGGCAAGCCTTCCAGCCTCTGACTGCCCATCTTAGAGACAGACTGTAGTTGCAGGACTGTTCAAAGCTGACAAAGACAGTCTCCTGGAGCAGCTCTGTCACCATCCTCCACAAACATGAGACATGAAGACCCTCTCCCAGCTCTTTTCCCTTCACTGAAAATCTCCTTTGTAATGTGCTGCTCACCTCAGGTCCCCCAGGAGAATTAGAATATCTTGGGGGGAAAGGCTGGTCTTTGCGCCTACCACATGGCCCAGAAAGAGCCATTTGGCTAATACTGCGAGCATGCCTGGCTCTGTGAATCTACAGCTGGAGGAAATAATGAACTTCTAAGAAAAGTGATAGTGTCTGGACTTCAGGGTCTTTTATTTTTTTTAACTTTGTCTAGGACAATTAAGAGTGTCTCCTAGAAAAAGAGAACAGATTTACAATAAAAGCAAGAACACAAATGAATTAACTGTGTGTGACCTGAATGAGCGATCAGACGGTGGCAGGTGAGGAAGTAAACAAAACAGGTTCGTGCCGGCAGGAGGAACACTTGGATACAGACTTTGCTTCCTGTTATTTGTCCTCGGATCTTGTTCACGGCCGGCCACGTGATCCACGGACAGCTAAGACACAAGGTAGATGCAGAGAGCAGCTTGGGTTGGAAGGACCTGCAGGGCTTTGATGAACGCAGTTGAACACAACCCAGGGCTTTAATTCCTGCGCAGGCCTGGAGAAGTCCATGACTTCCCCTTCCTTAGCCACTGGTACCCTGCTCATCTCACCCGTCCTCCATCTGGGAATGCGGGATTTCTCCATTTGCCCAGAGTCAAAGTCCCTCCCACCCTTCCTCCTCGACATATGCAGGCGACACATTAGCATGGTAATGTCTCGTGCCATTAGTGAGTAACGTGCTGAATAATTAGGCTATGAAAATCTAACGGCAGGGATTTTTGTTTTATTAGCAATTTTCCATCCTATTGTGTTAATTTCGGCTCATGTCAGCCAGCTTTCTAAGTAAACAATGATCACAGGCAGACATCATTTCCCAGTACATTGTGCTGCCAGGGTGACTTAACAGACCAGAAAATGGCTTAAGTTGTCTTTTGTCTTCCAGTCTCTGCCTTCTGGTAATGTCACCATCTATCTCATCTCTGGTTTCTTGTGACCGTGGGCTGTTCATTTCCTTTGTGTGTCTTTGGCTCCTCTCCCTTGTCAGTCCACCCATCCTTCTTGCCCATTCTCATTTCCCTCTTCACCGACACTGGCTGCCATCTCTTCCCCAGGACCTCTGTATGCCAACCTGCAATGGCATCTCCCTGCCCAGCCAACTCCTTTCTCGTAATTTCCACATTCATCCTTGCATTCGCTGGCCCTGTTCTTTCCTCTTTCTTTAATGTAATAATACATTAATAATTTAATGATACACTTCCTTTCACTTCTTTCCGTTTGCTTTTCTTCCCAATGGGTTATCTTATGATCATTCCTTCCTCACTGGTCCTTCCACACTACACTCCTCCTAGCTCTTAGAGCATCTCTGAAACTCTCAACACTCACTCAGCCTAACACAACACACAGGGAGAGAGAGAGAGGCATAGACAGAGAGGCAGAGGTAGAGACAGACAGACAGACAGACAGACGAGTGACATGGCGACAGGGGAGGGGAAGCACTCATTTTCTCTTTCCTGCTTGCAGAGATTCTTGGCTGGCAGATGATCGGCACTGGGCCCAGGCTCACTGGAAAGTTGATGCTTTCTCTGTGGCGTCCCTCTGGTCCTCACACATCTGCAAGTTTCTCCCGGAGCTGAGAACACGCTCTGCCACTTAGTGTATTACTGTTGTCCAGGTTACAAAAGCAGCTGCCGGATTCCTGAGAAACATAATGGAGAAAAGAAGCCATGACACTTAGGTGGGACAGATCTGGTTGCTGGGGGGGTGGGAGTGGTGGGGCTTGTGGTTGATCAGAGGCCCTCCTTGTCCTTCTCCTTCCCCTTAACCTCCAGGAAGTATCAGGCCTCCAACGAAGTATCAAATTTATTCGCCTTACTCAAATATCGAGGCCAAAGAACTAGAATAATGAGGCAATGCGGTCAATAACTCAAACACGTAATCTTGGTATCCATAAAAGACCAAGAGCCTGGCAAGCTGCCATCTGGGGCAGCCATTTAGGACAAGCCAAGGTAATCCATACTTTTCATAATTAACTTGCAAAATGCAATATAATTACCATCCTTGCAAAGGACCATAAATATATTGTTTCCTTTGATTCCCCCAACCCTTGCTTGGTTCCTCCCTCCCATTTCTCCCCTCCTTCTATAGTACTTAACACATGCAGAATGAGTCATCATCTTTTAAAACCTCAACTGGCTTAACACGTAAGATTTTTTTTTTTAACACTACAAGGGCAATTGTGGCTCTGGTAAGAAAGAAAGAAAGAAAGAAAGAAAGAAAGAAAGAAAGAAAGAAAGAAAGAAAGAAAGAAAGAAAGAAAGAAAGAAAGAAAGAAGGAGGACAATAAACTTGTTGAAGACGGAAATGCAAAAAGATGTAAGGGTTTTTGTTTTGTTTTGGTTTGGTTTGGTTTGGGGGGTTTTTTTGTTTAGTTTTGTTTTGTTTTTTGCAGATCTCTCATGTACCCAGAATTGTACATTCGTGAGAACTGCAAATGAAATAGGACAATGGAATGGAAAGAGAAAACGATTTGATCATATGAGATAAGCTACACATACAACCTATACTTCTAAAGAGAAATTGTGTAGTTTCCTGAAGGCAGAGAAACTGAAGGCAGGCTTTAATCACAGCAGACTGGAAAACCAATGAGCACAAAAGAATCTGAAATGTTCATGAACTAGAATCACAGGACATGTGGCCGACTGTGATCACTACTCAAAACTAGGAGGCTGGTGGGCACTTCCAGCTTCTGTCACGGCAAAGCCATCTAGCCAGCATCCCCCAGGCTTGGACCCCTAAGACCACTATGTTTCATGTACCATGGACCAGTACTAGAACCAGAAATGGACTGGATGACCTCATTTTTGCCTTCTTCCATCCTGCCTTCGTCACGTGCCCAGGCTGACGTCATGCCTCAGACACTGCAGCAGCCCTGACACTGACTGGTGCACCAGCAAAAATCACCCACCACGGCCAACCTCACCCTGCATTTAGCACATCAGTATTCAGCACCACAGTCAGTGCCCAAGCCAGCAGGAAGGAGGGAGGCCTGGTAGGGGCTTCCAGGAAAACAATCTTCCATTATCAGCCATAGGCTCTTGTTTCTGATGCCTCTTCCTTCTGGTTTTATTCACAGCTGCTGTAGCTGGGTGTCCACAAAGACACGATAAGTTTACTAACAGTCGCTGCACAGGGAAAGTGCCTTTTCCTCTACACA